ACCCGTGTTTCGTAAGACATTTGTCTTTTAAACTTTACTCGCGGAAAATATTTATTGTAAACCATGAAAATTAATTAATTGTTTTTTCTTTTCAAATAATACATAACATATATTTTATGAAGAAAAACAATTTTAAAAAGAACGAGTGTCTTATTACAATAAATGGGGTATCCTACTCGAACGATAACATGTTGGACTTTCTATGAATACGTGCTCAATCAACATTTTCCTTCATAAGATTCTGTGTCATTGTAATACGAACCGGAGGTTTTGCTGAAATTGCATTTCCGCGTCTCCTCGATTGTAGCTCAATAAATTGCTCGTGCATGTTAATTTATTTCAAATATGTGTGCTACGAGGGAATGTCCGAGTAGAACAAACGGTTTTGTGTACCTGGATTTTTGTGAATAATAAGAATCCTATGAGCTCAGACTGCATTGAGTAAAGTGTTACAACAAATGTTACTACATTTTCAAGTAGAGTAAAGATACACCTCAGTGCCTATCATTTATAGGACGCTTACTCATACTTCGTATTAATATAATTCCAATTTGAACAATCCTCCCATTTTTTGCAATATAATACTCTACATGATCCTCTAGTCAAAGAAATTAATTGTAAACTGTCAAAATTTTATTAGAAGTTGCACTAAGAGCGTAGATCAATTTCTTTAGGATGTTTGGGATAAAATCTCTTGTGTTATACAAAAAAACTAATTTGAGAAATCGTAGATGGAAAAATTTGATGAATGATAGACTTTCTAACGTAAAAGTAATACAAAAAAAATAACTACTAGTGATAAAATTAGTCAACAGGTACATCTCTACTTTGATACATAATCGTACAAGATAAGTTCTTGTACGGACTCGTACATTCTCCAGCTCTGACGACCCAACTAAGCCATTGGGCTGCTATTGGGTAAAATACTAGCAAAAACTCAGTTGATGAATCCGATTATCATAACAAAAAAATTTTTATCAAAAACTACTGATCCTGGCCACTTGCAACTTAAACGCACCATTCCCATCTTAGCAAATCAGCACGGCTTGAAAAAAGAAAAATAGAAATCGATGTCCCGTATCCAGGCAACTCGAAAAATCCAACCCACCTAGGAAATAAATAACCTACGAATGGGTACTCAAATGGTGTTACTTGCAATCTCGACCTCTTACGTCCATCACCTCTCGTGCACAACATCCACTTCGCTCGCCATATGCTTCCGAAAGAAAAATAACACACAAATAATGATGCAGCGACGACAGCGATGGTGACAAAATACAAACTAACGTGCGTATATAAATATGGTAAGCTTGCAGTTTCGTATATGTACATGTACTTCACATGTATATACATGTGCTCAAACACTCTCTCAGGTAAGTGCAGGAGTTTATTGCTGCACGCATAGGCTCTAGAACTCCGCGTGTACACTACACTTGTAAGGCCCCCTTTTTGCGGTGAAGCATCATCATGTAGGTACATTATACGTACTCGCAGGCTCTTTTTTTTCCTCTCCGTGCCGTTCGCTCATCATCTCTTTCTCTCTTTTGCTCGTAGCATCCGGCTCTTGTTCCGCGTGCGGAGTCTTGCGTGTAATTTTTATGTCGTCGTGCACAGCGGCAGATGCTGTTCCGATTGTTCTTCTCTAAAATACGTATCAACCTACGGCTTCATTTCGCGCGTCTGCGAGGTATAATTGGCGGGTATTGCATTTTTAAGGAAGTCGAGCTCAATGGTCTCTTTGGCTGTGTTGAAGCTCACTTGGTGTTAATTTCATTGGTGTAGTATAAGTATATCCAACACATACTAGAAAGACATTGCTGAGGCTCTCAAAGAGAACAAGTCATACATATGTTTTACTCCACAGACACAAGTTGTATGAAACAGACAAAAACCCTCCCACTGGATTGTTCCCTTGCTTAAATGCTGAAAAAAATTACCTCGATATGATAAATGCCATACGCTCGGAGTTGTAAGATCCTGGTGTCTTTTACGATAAGACAGAATTGGTGAATCAAAATGATGCAATGAAGAATCATAAGGAAAATGAAAAGGAGCAGCTAAAGTATGAAAAGTTATGACGAATCTCGACTATAAACAGCAATTTTATGTTGGTCCGTAACTAATTAATGTAGTTTGTATACGAAATGTGATCCGTATTTGCATATTTCAACTCGTCACCTTATACCTACGAAAAAACACAGAAAAGTCCAATTCCGAGTAGTACACTGGTACTAAGTTAAAGTGCATCCACGGAATTTGAAAGCCCGTAAGTACCATTGAAATGTATCGCTCATCGAGCAGGCCATAAATCGTCCTTTCCCTCCAAACTCCCATTCCTGCAATTTTAACTTCCAACATCTCCTCGGAGAAGCTGCTGCCAAGCTCTCAATCACAGCTCTCGTGGCCCTCGAGGCAGTCGTTCTCTCCAGCCTATCCGTGGTAGAAGGTCCGTAAAAAAGGGATGTGCCGGTAGATAATGGATACGCGAGCTAGAACGCTACGCTACTTATTAAATATAGCGCGCGTGTGGGTGTGCGCGCGTTTTGTGCTTCGTTGAAGCTGTTTTATTCATTGAATCAAGACCCGTGGCGATGGGTCGAGTTTTTCCGTCTGCGTGTGGATACAACACGTTACGTGTACTTCAGGAATGGGCTAATGGGTTAATGCGTGCAAGTGTGTCGCTCGCGTGTGCTGAGATTTTTTCTTTTTTTTTCCCCTCCCTCGGCGATTATGCACACGTGTACGCGTTAGAAAATAGGAGCCTCTTTTCGACAAGCTCGATCTTCGTGATCGGCCATGTGCGCTTAACTTCGTTGTGTCCACCTCGAGAATATGGGTCCCACGAAATTTAGCAATTTCACGATATGTCGTTGCTCTTGGCATCGGCACCGTTGGCTTCCATAACATGTAGGATGTGGGAACACGTTTGGCACATTTATGGAAACTTTACCTTTTTCTACTCACAAACTGTCAATTTTTGCGATCAACCTATTTTTCCAGAAGAGAGTAACGTTAGTTACGTTTAAAGCAACTCTAATTGTATTTTCGTGTCTCCGTTAAGAGCGTTTGAGCTTGCGAAGCAAGGAATGATGTACTGCAGCGATTGTGGATCAACGAAATTGTACGCGCGGGTCTTTTAATTGCAGACTCAGCAGGAGGTACTTTCGAGGATCCATGGATTAACTAAATCCTCATCTCATCTCGTTGCATCGAGTTATTTATTACAACAAGTTTATCTAGCGATGATTGTGTGATTGCATTACGCGTTAACAGAGCTAACGAAGATCTTGTTGCGAAATTCCTGTATTTTTTGTTTGTTTTGTATTAACGTAGGGTTGTATCCATTTATGTAAAAACTCGAGAATTTTAAGATTGTTCTTGGATACCAGAAAAAAAGTTTAGTTATTTTTTTCAGTCAAAGTTACATTATTATAAATAGTTTTTCACTATGAATTACAATACTTTTGTTTGCTGCAACGTCCTCGACTGATTCGTATCCCCTAATCATTTCCTCGTCCAATCCTTTTGTTACACCTGTTCTGCCACAAATTAGCAAATACGCATCGCCACCTCGATTTTTCCAATTGCTCGTATACGTGTGCCTGTTCGCGCATAAAAGCGTCCAATTAGCCGGTGTATCGGGTGCAACAGGAAAACATTGTCTCGGGCGTTATGTATCGTTAGCTTGGATCGAAACTTTCCCTGCGTTCGTAGGAAAGTCCATTTTTTTTCTCGAAAACCATCGTGTTTCCCATCAACTCCGATCGGGATATCTGGGTCGGAAAAGTTATACTTTCCAGAATTTTTCCTCGTATTTGCATGCACTATCTAGATTGTTAGTTTTTTTTTTTTTTTTCTATCGATGGACGCGATGTGCCATTATTCTCCAATGATTAACACACTTTTCCTTTTGATACTCCATTTTCGTTGGCCTTTAAACACGCATACGTTTCCGTTCGATTTGTTTTAATGACAGAAAAATCGTAATCATCCGTATGCTCGTTAAAACACCTTCGACCATCCTGAAATTTCCAGTTATTCGACCACTTACTCTTCGATTCGGTGACAAAGCAACAGAACAGCTCCAGAAAGGAAACAAGTCATTCCTTGTGAATCCAAATAGTGGAAATCGACGTGTTGGATCTTGATTTTTTGCTTAGAAACTCCAAAAACCTACCGAACCGAAATGAGCATTCCACACGTGGAAGCCACTGTCCAAAACCAATCTAGCCATCCAAAACCGCGAAAAGTGACATCGGCCCGATTCCCTCGAATCAGGACCAAATAGAAGGAGAGAGAGAGAGAGAGAGAGAGAGAGAGAAAAAAAAGAGCCCACAAAAAGCAAAAAGGTCCGAGCTACATACTGTGGAAGAAAGGAGGAAAAGCGTGGAGTATACTGTGGGGTATACGGTGATGATAACTGGATGCGATCGACATCGGGCCAACTGTGCACTTATCTCGATCAGTTGGCGCATCGATGCCAAGCGTCCTCCTCCTCCTCCTCTTCAGCCCATGCACACGTGTGTATCCCATGTACTTACGCGAAAGGAGGCGCACATATCATCGGAGGAAAAATGAGGGCCACGCGCGCGTGCATGCATCAGGCGGAAGCAGCGGTGGTGATGGCGCCGCCAGTGCGATAATATACGTACATGCACACGTACACACATAGCGGGGCAAAAAAGCACTGCCGGACTGCTCGGCTGGAATTCACGCTCTGTATATCGCGACGATGCAGCGCAACAGGTGACCGCAGAGGTAGGTATACCGAGTGGTGGAGTCGCGTGTGCACCTACGCACACCTATGGAAAAAGCAAGAGAGAGAGAGAGAGAAGGTTACTGGTTGCATCGGTGGCGCAGGTTGTGTTGTTCTCCGCCGACGATTTAATTGCCACGATCGGCGTAATCGTTTGGTCTGGAGCACCAGCAACACCTGGTTGTGGCTCCTTGGCGTATAAATAAAAACGCTGGCTCGCGCACGCGGCTAGTTCAACGCAAGGATGCTCGCGAGGCTGATACTCGGGGTCTTACTGGTGGCCGTGGGCTGTTGCTTCGATGGCGGCCCGAGTCTCGGTGGTGTTCGCGTCGTCGCTGCCGCGGTGCCGGTGGACAAGGATGGGCTGACGAATTTGAGGGGACGCCTGCCAAGGCTCGTCAATGGACTCGCCGCGGCCGTCGGTGGTACTGGTGCTACTGGTGTTGATCCTAGTGGTGTTGCCTGCGAAGGGCTGAACTGTGCTCCAAGGAGGAGTAGGGCCTTCAAGGGTGGAGACGTCGAGCGGATGGGCGGTGAAGGGCAAGTGCAGGGTCGAGACACCGAGGCTGATGGACAGGGGGATGAGGCAATGCTGCAAGAGGATGGAGCTGAGGGGACTGACGTCGAGGAAGGTAACGAAAGCGATGGAGGATGGTTTGGGGGTTGAAAAACTCGAGTCTGCCAGTGCTAACACGATGACTCGGTTGACCTACCATTTTTTTTTTCATTTCCCGAGTCTTGGACTCTGGTTACCTGTTAGGAAATCTAGAAGATGATTGAGTGTTAATGATTTTCACCCCGTTTCCTCCTTGTGGGTAACCATATCGGTGCACGACAGAATATTACTTTTTTTATTTTCATACTAAAATTGGATTGGTTTGAATTTGCATCCCTAGGCGTGAATTTAATGCTAAATGAATCGATTATGTAATTCCTAAGATACGAGTATTTGTTCGTATTGGTCAACTTATCGTGATACACAATATTTTTCATCCATTGAAAAAAAAGTAACTTTTCAATTGGATGAAAGATCTATACTCCAACGAATTAGTTTTTCGGTGTTGTATTTTATAATCACATTTCAGTTATAATGAATGAAAACACAAGACACGGCTAAATTTCCATCCTATTCAACCACGAGAACATCTAAGTTATCTCACTTCCCTGCCAAAATATTGATGATAAATAAAGTTTTCAGTTCACATGGAACGTCTTGAGCAATCACCCATAAAGCTTATGAAAAAACATCGCTGAAATAAATGATCGGAGCTAATGATTTTCAATTCTTGCAGGTAGAGGAAAGGGTGGAGGAGGTTTCGGAGGTGGAGGAAAAAAGAAGAAGGGCTACGGCAAAATGCTGATGATACTGGGTGGCATGACGAAGGCGGTCATGCTCTACATTATGATCCACGCTGTGGCGCTGCTGGCCGGAAAAGCTCTGGTCATAGCGAAACTCGCGCTCGCAATCGCCACGGCTCTTGCCTTGAAAAAATCTGGTACGATTAACATTGACTTACGAACCATTTGACAGATAAATAGTACAGGTGTCAGCTCTTCGAGGGTGAAATGATTTGTTTTTATCGCTTTGGAAAAACATCGTGTGTTGAATTAATTGTTGAATCTATGAGATTCCTCAGATGCACTATCATTGGACGCATTTTTTCACATGAGCCGAAATTCAAGTAGATGCAAATACTTAACAATTTATAAATGAAACTACGTCATTTTTTTTAAATCTTTCTCAACTAATTTGGATCCAATAGATATTTTGCTCGTTTAAAATCCCTTGAAGTGCTGACAGACATAACACTTAGATTCGTTAACTGACATGTGACAGTATAAATATACACGCGTTGACGAAACAAAAAAGATAAAATAAGATAAACCATTTAGTACAAAAAAAAAACAAAAATTCACAAACTCATTCGCAGACACACAAGAGGTACATGTCAGTGAAAAAGCACTCACCCTTCCAGATCACAAGACCACGTCATACGAAATCGTCAAGCATCCGCACTACAGCCACAGCTCGAGCGTCGACTACGATCATGGGGGTGGAGGTGGTAGCTATGAGGGCGGCAACCGGCGACGGCGAAGAGCGCGCCGATAAAACCTCGCGTTTCTATCTCTGGTTTTTGTTTGTTTTTTTTAATTTATTTTTTTTTTTTACAGAATTGTAATATATTTATATAAAAAAAAAAAAATCGCAAAGAAAATTTACTGTTCTCTTTCTGTTATCGCCATGTCGATGGAAATCGACAGTACAATAGTTGACTATTATTATTGTCACTAAATGGAAAAGTTTCCTCATTTCTTTTATAGGTAGCAATAACGAGAGCATTTTTGATCTAGATACTCGACTGTAGCTACTTGCTTGTTGCTGTTGATCTACATAGCATTTTACAATTTGATGTATACGATTATATGTTATAATTTTCGATTTACATATCATTTTCATTGATATATCTCGATCAAACAATGATTAAATCACAAGGATATAATCCGTTTTGTCAAGTCACAATGATCCTACGTTATTCGATAGTGCGTATACGTTATGTCGTATCGTACAATTTTGTGTTGTTAGAAATGCAAGCTACCATCTTTGCGTTTATTGTTTTAGTACTTTCTTTTCTCGTAATTGGATTTTATGTAATTTATATCATATTTATTTATTTTATAGTTGGATGTATACCAAAGTTCACGTGAGATTTTTATTGATACACTACACACCGTCGATTTATCGGACATAAATCATCACAATGTTATTAATTCTTACATGTATTCCTTTTAGAGAATATCCAATATTTATAAAAAAAAAGTAAATTGAAGTATTATTTTCTTACTATGGTTCTATGTTTTCTATGTTTAATTGTCTTACGTTCGTTGGACTGAATTGTTTTTAGCAAAAAAACTTGTACTGTTAAACCAATGTTGACGATGAAAATATTATTACACCTTATTGATGTTTAATTAAGTTTTATAAACATTTTTATAAACAATTTTTATTTTTTATATTAGTTATAGCATCACTGGATTTATAAGCTCTTGTTTAATTGTTATGTAAACTCACTTATATTTCATATTACGTGTTGTATGTGTAACTTAAACATTACTTTTGTCAACTTCTCGTTTTACCCGATAGCGCCATCGCTGAAAGTATCGTGTAACAGCTGAACACTTTCTTCCAACATTCAGTGTCTAAGTCTACTATGCCGACGATGACGTAGTAGGTTTCTTGGGCCTTCAAGAAAAACTAAAAAAAATTGTGATTTATATCGTAGCAAACAATTCCCGGAAAATATCACTTATCTTACTATTTTTCATCGTGCAGGTATAAGTTCGTTACTTTGAAGTTATGTATAGTTTTCTTTGGATAACAAAAATAAATAGGTGATACGTCAATTCCGATGCGAGCAATTAAACCCGTTTTACCTATTTAAGGTTTTAGCTAGAAAACCTGCAAAATAACTTTTGGTAATTATTTCTCTCTCCTCTCTGCATTTGAGTCGCTGAAAACTGCACTCCTGCCCTGGTGCAAAACTACATAATCTCATCTCCTTTTGCACCACTCAATTTGCTTTGAAGATCTACGAAATCAGAAGGTCTTTTTTTGAAATTATAGAAAAAAAACAACTTCTTTTGATCCAAAATAAGTAGAGATCCTAGTAAAAAAACCCCAAATCCCAGCACAACGAAAAAAAGCGTACTCGCTGACCTAAACGGCCATCGACTTCCTAATTGCCCATTCGTGCTCGCAGGTACGCGACGCATCAGTTTCTGGTTACATCGTCGAAGAGAGCACCGTCCGAGGATCGCGTGTCGTCATACTATATACTCCCCCTGTGCAATTATCACCGGCTGCCAAGCGTTACGATTTTTCCGCTGCACGAGGCTCGACTCTGCTTCGAAGAAGAAAAAAAAACCAGCGAGAGAGAAAAGCCAATATACGTAGCGGATCTTTGCGACCGTAAGATTGTATATTGATTGAATAGCTACATGCTCCACTGTGAGATGTTTCATTTGAATATTTTTAATCCACACGTTACCCTTGATGCAATGGCCAACCAAGTTGCTTGTCATTGAATGGTACTTGGGTATCTTATTTGGGTTGTACAGATATGGCCAAATGATGAAGCATCTTTATTATACGCGAAATTTTTCTTTCCTCTCTCTCTCTCTTTTTTTTTTTTTTTTATTGCACATGACAATTGTATTGTTACAACTGTGTGCCAGTACATGGCGAGTGGGGTTGATACGTAAATTTTGACTGTTTCATCAACGTTGTCGACAAATAGCAATTCTTGGAAGTCTTGGATGAGGGAAGGTGGTTGGGTAATGAGTTTTTTTTCATTAGAAGTTTAACTTTATTGCGAAAATTTTACAACAGTTGAACATCTGTACGGAAATTGTTGAGATTTTCCAAAATCATTGCGCAAAACCTGCACTTTGAAATGATTTCTATTAAAAAAATTTCCATACAGACGTATCGGACAACTAACAACGGGTTAATAAATAAATAAATAAATAAACGATTCCATCGATTAGCCAAAAATGACAAATAAATTTAAATCGAACAAACAGAGCATGATGGTGCCACGACGACTGGTGTGCTGATGATATATAATACATAACTCGTAATATCAACTAATTGACAGCTTGACTAAAATCAATCGAGTGTGGCGAGGACTCTGACTTTGTATTTATTGTAAAAAAAAAAAAAAAAAAAAAAAAAAAAATAAACAAATAAATTAATAAAAAACTAATCCTAAAAATGCCGGAGTATATTCAGGAGGTGCGATGAGATTCAGGTGATGGGAATGGCGTCGAGGGCCCGCTGCCAGCCACCCCCGTATCCCCCGTGGTGTTCGGAAGCCGTCGCGTAGATGACCTCGTGACCACCGCCTCCACCCGAGACGAGCTTCTTAAGGCCGATTATAGCACTAAGAACCAGCGCTATCTTGGCAGTGAGTAGAGCCGTACCCGCCAGGAAGGCTATCTTGCCGAAGGCCAGCTGTGCCAGCATACCTGCGGACATGGAAGTTTAAGCTGAGTATGGCGTTCTACATATACGCAAGTCCTATGGTTAACGACGAGCGGATGTTTGCGAACGTGACTCGGGAATATGTGGCGCACATAGAATGGACTGTTATCGCCACTGCACGGTATGTTTGATCGCGGCTGCGAATACGCACGATTATCGGAATAAGTGGTGAGGCTCTTGGGTGCGCCTGACGCGTCTATTTGCCATTCCAATGATTCGAGCGCGAATTATCTCTCTCGTGCTTGTTCCGTCGGAGGATGACGCTTGAGCGGGGAAATGTCCGTGGATCTGGGTGATTTTTCACGATTGCGATAACGGAGCCGAGATTTTATTGTGTTTATCTAGTCCAATGATTATGGAGATTTTCATTGAAGCGTGTGTATCTTATGGGCGGGTAAGGAGTGCATCTATGAGTACTTGAGGATTGGCTGGAATTTGGAAAACGATAAATCTATTCGTGCCCGGTTACTTGAATATCTCGATGCTAAAGGAATAATGCAAATAAATCGTACTTTGTTTCCGGTTAAAAGTTTTTTTTTTTCCCTCTCTTTTGATACTTTTTATTTGGACTATATCGAAAGAAGTGAATGTCCACTGTACCGTCAAAGGAACAAAAAGAAATGAAAAAAATGGGCACCTGTACAGCGGAAAAGTATACGTAATTGTGCGGTTCAATGCGTGTAATGCCCGTCTTTTTTTTGCCTCCTTTTGTTCTCATAGATGCCCTAGATGCTGACCTTTATGTCGCGCAATGAACGTTAACCTTGTTTTTCTCCCGGCTTTCTCCGAGCTAGCCGACTGACAGATGTTATTTTTACGATTTCGTTGTTACCTGCTGATTTTTAATGGTCAATTGTGCAGTAGTGAGCTTATGGAAATTGTGCTTTAATGTATGGAGTGAAGCAATAAAAAAATTAAAAAAATTTTAAAAAAGTACTAAAGTAAGCTTAGATTTATTCTAGTAGTTATATTAGTCCATTTCCATTAAAATTTGTTCCAGCCTTAAACAAATGGCGCGTTTGTAAAAGCACGTCAAGTTATCTCGCCAACGAGTATTTTCCTCTCCGTATCTATGTATACACTGGGGGTATATGAGTGATGTACGAGATAGGGTGCCCATTAAGGCTCCGTTAATTCATAAAGCACGCGCGTCACGTATGGTGTACTCCAAGCAAAATGTTTTCACGTGATTTAGCGTTATTGCGTTGGTGATTTATTACAAAAAATTCTTGTGTTTCTGTCACGGTGAAAAAAAAGAAAAAATTAATGTATCAATCACCTGCAAGCGCCAATCCGCCCATCATGACACCGCCCATGCCTCCTTTCTTGTCCTTCTTTCCTCTTCCTGAAAATTCAACGCATATAATTATTGAATCTTTCTTCTAGAAAAGATTTCTAGTAAAATTTGACTTGATACAATCTCATTATCAGCATGATCTGCACTATTTTAATACACTGATATGTATTGTCTTTAGTATCCTAAGCTCGATATATCATCATTTTCATCATGTAAACAATAAAAATTGTAAAATTTACAATTATTACATTTATTTGAAAAATATTGTGAATAATATTTCTGCCATAAAAAAGAAAGTTTTAAATACAATTATTACAATAAACAACGAAAATTTTTATTACGTTATCTCATTAAAGCTTCTTCCCGATTTCCCACGTCTAAAGTAAAAGTAAAGATTGAAACCAGGTCACAACCCCTCGATTTTACAACGCAAACGTCGGTAAATCTAAATATTGCCATAAACGTGATCCTCCAATTCTTCCACCCCCAATTGTATTATCCCTTGCAAACGACAAAATCAACCCCATTTCATCTCAACCCGAAAAAATGATGCACATAAATTACCTTCGAGCGCATCACCGGGTATCGTAAGCTTGACGCTCCTCGAGCTAAGGTAGTCGTTGAACTTCTGGTCCAACTGTTCGTCAAGACCCCTGGCCGTCGAGTTCTCGTCAGACTGCAGCTCGATGCTCCTCGCGGCCCTCGCGTCCCTCCCAATCGATATGTAATCGTTGACCGCGTACACCGTGTCGTCCTTGATCGCCGAGTCGAGGATGTCGAGCGCCCGCTTCTTCAGGCAATCGAACGTGTTCTTTTCCTTGGTGCAGCGCTCGAACAGCTTGACGTAGCCCTCGCCGCTCGAGCCCCGGGACTCGGCCGTCGACAGCAGCAGGAGCAGCGGCACCAGGAGCCAGGCCTTCATCCCCATTGCTCTTGTACGCGCACGTGCGACGGATCCGTAGACAACAAGCTTGCGGTGACGCGCACTTTCAGAGTATATACCCTTTGTGTGTGTGTGTGTTTTTGTATGGGACGGACGGTAGATGATACTGTCGATCACTGCACCTCGTCCATTGATAAGACGTTTGCGTGGATCCGCGCCTCGACTGATCAAACAACGCCTCGACGGCGCGGCTCTTATATACTTTTTGCTACTCCGCTCCCGATACACCCAACGGTAGTAGGGGCTAACACGCGCACCTATACCCAACGGAGCAGGAGCAGCTTATCCTGCGCCACCTGCGCCTTCCTACTTGGGGCCCCGTCGTGTATACCTCGCGGCACGCGCTGTTTAGCGCCTGCCGTGGAGGCTAAGCGGAAGGAAGGATTCCGGAGGGTGGGGGGAACCTCTGGAGCAAAACGATTCTCCGGCAGCTGCTGTAGGAGCTGCAAAAAAAAAAAAAAAAAAAAGGAGCCGCCTGGCTACGTGAGCTGGGGTACGCCAAGTATTGTGGATGCATCATCCCGATGACCTGCTTGCCAAACGAGCCTCAAACTTGGCAGATCGCGGGGGGAGGCTGCGCTTGGGTCCACGGACAATGTATCGCGATCCATCGTGGGGAGTCTGATGGATGATCTTTCGAGAATCTTTGGAGTTACATGGTGGGGTATGAGTAACTTTGGATGACGTGCAGATTTAGTTCATCAGTAGCGAGACTTTGGGTCCTTTTTTTCCTCTATTTTTGAAGGAATTTCGTTTTTGTGGATTTATAGATCACGGGTAACTTATTGTTATGTATTATTTCATTTTTGTACCGATGCTGATTTTTTTATTCATCCAAATTCATAGTTAATTGAAGCTCGTAAAATGTCCAATCATTGACGTACGATACTAGCCACGTCTTGATTATCTCAGCTCAAAATTTAATTGAGTTTCAACAATGAATATCTCGACACGATCAACTGCACATTTCGCCAAAAATCATCGTTCCAGTCATCGTAGCAGTGCACCATTGGTTGTATTTCTTTTTCTCCCGTACGTGCGCTCCTTCCGAGATTTCTCGCCCAAGATCAACCATCTCAGCTGTTCGCCGAGTGTATTCACCACATATACACACGAAATAGATCATAGAAATCAGACCGCGACTCTTATAAGGAAAAGCCGGCGTCGAGCGTTGTGTTATTTCGATTTATGGCTTTCATGTACCCATCATAAATACGATTGGCAAATGGATATCATTTATTTCGCGCGTTGAGACTTTCTAGCGCTCCCCGGCTCTCTATCTCTCTGACGTCCGCGTCTGACAGCACCCCCCCCCCCCATTTTTTTTCTTAATTTCATCTCTTTTTATGGCATTGAAAAAAAGTCATTCGCAAATCGGATAATAACCCATGACTGGACGATATTTGCTCTGATTTTCTTGTACGAGCTCTGCTGTTGGAGCTTCGATTCTGCGTCCGACAGAGGAATTGCCAGTCCGAAGAAGAATAAATACATGCCTATGTTATGCATACACGCGTACGTCCATGAAATCAAGCTCTGGACTTTAATGGAATACATCAAACAACTGTTCAACGCAATGAACATGATTGTTTACGATTTAACTATAATGTATATTTTATCGAAAAGATGAATGTGAATCGCGTCAAATAGCTCGAAATGCATCATTTTTCTGGAATATTAAGGTAACAGTAAAATAATTAATTCATCTGCCATTATCGTTGTGAAAATAACAATATTAGTATGTAAAATGAAAGAGGCTTCGTTATTGTACAATAAATGTGCATGTGGGTAGTCGCGACGTTATATGATTAGTGTACATGATCATCATCCCAACACGCCCCTCAACAAAACGGGAATTTCAATAATGGATGGGAACTCTTTTACCCAACCTAATTTTACCTAATTACTCAAAGCTTGATTTACTGCACCCGCGACTAGATAATCATATTTTATCAGACGATGAAGAGATTAGTGGATTGGGAAAAATGTAACAATAGAAAATTTTACTGTCAGTTTGATAATGAGATTGTAACAACTACGTATAGTCTCTTAAAATCATCAAAAATTTTGTAGGAATTTCAAAAGTATCTTTATCTAGAAAGTCTGAGACCGATATGCAGTGTGCAATAAAAAAAAATATTTTAAACAATTCGTAGAGAAAATTCATGAGCCTCCCATTATCTCATTTGCCTCAGTTTATTTTGGGGTAGTTTTTTCTTTGAGATTTTATTCGATGCACACGTATCAGTCATCGAAATTTTTACACTGCAAGTATAAACAAGTATTACAAATGTCGTCTCATTCTTAATAACATTAAAAATGAGTCAATGGCATTTTTCCTTTCAAAAAGATTTCCTCTTTGAAGTACCCTTTTTTGAAGTGGTTGGAAAAGCATGACTCCCCATGAATGACATTATTCAATCACAATTTTATTTTATTTCATTTTGACGAAGAATTCGGCATCATATTGTTCTATTGTTACCAAGTTGTTTTTTCATTATACGAGTAAAGACTTGACTTTAACCAGCTAACAAAACAAAAGCAAAGAAAAAGAGCCAAAATTGTAATAGCCTACTTTAAAAGCAAAAAATAAAATAGTACCCTTTTCACTGTATATAGTGTACATATATGCGCACAAAACTTCCGGCTTTTGCGGCCGAGGAGGAGCGTACACGTGTGCCCCATACACACCATCACCAACGTACCATCCAAAAGACGCACGTACTCGTGCATGTTTTGCGCGTCATAACTATCGTACGTGAGAGCCCTGGAGTCAGCTAACCGCGGCGTAATTGATCTCCTCCGCGTAAGTATAATGTACACGTGGTACATGTACACACATGCGTCTATGCAAAGCGCACTTGCGAGCAAAACAGTAATAGTTGGAGCAACGCGTAGGGTAGAGAGAGCTGTGCTTCACGCACAAATGGATATTCCAGTCCTTATAGCGGCGTCGATTCGCTCCGTTGGGCACGCGTTAACCCACTAACAGCGGATTTCGCGTTTTCACGAGCTGCGTGCCTTTTTTTTTTCTTTTCCTTTTTTTTTGTCCACGGTATGAGTATACGTACGTATACACCTCCAACAGCTACTGTTGTTTTTGGCGTGTTTTTTCTCCTCTCCTCTTCTCTAGGGTACTTTCTCGCGGTGTTTCCTATTTTTTTTTTTTTTTTGCACCCAAGGTGACAGAGGTTTACTTTTAGGCACTGTCCTGTGCGATTGTTTCCGTGTATATGCACAAGAGGCGTGTGGGAACGAGAAAAACGGTGTTTTTGTAAGACCCGACGACGATTCCACGCGATGCTCCATTTTTTCGCTGCTCAATGCCTTTCCTAATGAGGTCGATGTGTCTATACGCGAGTGGTGCATAGCGTTGTACTACAATGGGAGTGAAATTTTAATCGCTCTCCTCTTCGACAAAATCACGCGTGATTGTCTTCTATACTGCAATTGCAGTATCACTAATTGGAGAGTAATACGTTTAATTTTTTTTCTCAATGCGTTCACGGGATATTGTGATAATTACAATAATTAGAATGTAGTTTCGTTTGAGCGCGCGTATTTTATAATGATAATGGTATCGAGGAATCTGCAGGTTTCTTTGCATTTTCATTTGATAAGATAAAGGATGTGCGTTCTCATTTTAATATTTATGGGAGTAATTAGCATGAATTGGAGGAGCGCGGTGGAGACTTGGGTCTGAGGAATTGGGAAAAATTTTTACGTCCACTGTTTCTCTCTTGGGTTTTTGCGATGTAAAAAAAAGAAATGAAATGAATACCTAGCGAAGGAGTGGAGCATAGAATTGAATCTCACGAGTACACCTCGTGTAAGCCAGTGCGTATAGACAACGAGTAGGGTTATTTTAATTGAATCCGACAAAGGTAAATTAAAACAAGCTATTTGGGTGTTTCCTCATTTTTTCTTGAATATTTTTCATTGCGTGATGTATTTCGATCAAGTTTGTAGACACGAATACCTTGGGTGAGCTCGTTTGTAGACAAAAAGTCGAACCATTGCGAGAAATGGTGAGTCGAGGTTATTATTCAGCTGAAAGAAATTAAATAACGAAACCTCAATTTCATCGTTACATAATTATCCACCCCGTCCTTGTGAACCGCATGGTAGAGAGACGGGCTTGTGAACCATCGATTTGATCCCAAAGACTTTATCTCTCAATCTGGTCGTGAGAACTTAAAGGGCTTTTCTAATCCTCAAAGGGTCTGCACATTCGGCAAGTTCACTTTCACTGTATTCCTGGTAAAATTGGATAAAAAAAAGGATCGGAGATCTCAAAAGAGTAAACAAATTAGCCTCTAATTGAGAGGTGCGGGAAAACCAGAGGAAAGAAAGAGAGTGTCAAACCGGACCGCTGTAATTTGCCGGACACGACAAACGAGAACGGGAGAGACGATCCGTTGATGGCTCATCCCTAATTAAGCTCACGCCAGTTCCAAACACTCGAGAGGGACAGCAGCTAGGATGCTCGATTTTTTCTGTACGTGTCCATGAAAACTGGGTCTCCACGCGGTCCGTTGCAGGAGACTCGCACGCCAAGTCCGGTCGTTTCACCAACACTCCCGATGCTCTCTCGTGGAGTCTTTGCCCCTACCTCTTCCCAATAATCATATTAGCTTTTTTTTTCCCTCGCAGCTCTCATTTTTCTGCGGTAATTGCGAGCATTTTTACGTATTGGAAGTAAATCTCGCGTACGAGTCTTCGAATGAATTTTGTTGCAGAAGAAGATAAATCACTACTGTGCAGTGCAGCGCGGAACTCTTTGCACAGTTTATGGATGATCATCCGTGCATGCACCGACGTGTGATGGTAATTGGGTCGGAAAAACTGTAAAGGTGTTTAATAAGATTTTGCGGGGCCAATTGGGGTCCATTGGACGAGAAGTTTATTATTATTTTGCCCCGGTACGCTCTTCGCGGGATAAAAACTAACTGTTTTGGAACGACAGCTTTTACGGCGTGTTTGGCATTTCTTCGACAGATTCGTAAAGTTGCTCGTTTGTACGTTGGTGGATGAAAGGTTTGAATGACAAAATATCATTGCTCTGCTGATGAACCAAATTTTTTTTTCTCCGAGACCAGCAACAATAGGCTGCAATTTGCTCATACCCGAGGATTAAAATACCCGTAATTGAAATCAGAGCTCTAAAAGCGTGAAATTGAACTCTGGTAATGATCTTAATGGTGTAGTGTACATCCGGGAAATGAATTGAGGATCACAATATATGTGGGGGTACACGCGAGCGCGAAAGCGACAGTAAAGTCGCGTAAGAGACGTAGAATGGGAGCACAACATAATAATCGTGTTTAGGGACGATTATGAGAGACATAGCCACAATGGCTGCTCATCGCGACGGCGGGCGATTCTAGGTGTTACACTAACTCCGATATTATGCTGGATCCTGGTCGAATTGAACAATAGTGTCACGGGAATCGAGCGTATCGCGCGCGGCTTGAATCTTTTTTTTTTTTTTTTTTTTTTTATTGATAGTACATATATATACATGTGGCCGGGGCAGAAGGAGCGCGTTTGTATCATTCTACTTACCATGAGAATGTGAGCAAAGAGTATAATGCGGCGAGAGTGCGGGAAGGATCGTTAAAAGAGAGAAAAGAGTTTTTGCGCGCGGCGGTCGAGTCACTTTTACTCCGCACTACTTGCTTTGTTCCTCATAGATTACGAGAAAATGATGATGAAGGTTTTTTAACGTGGAGAGGCTGCGACTTATATGGTTGCAATGCGATTGTTACCGCAACCTATTTATCACGATGCGAGCACGGTATTTTACGCCGAAAAAAAAAACAAAGTGCTCCTTCACCACTGTACGCGTGTAGCTCTAATTGTTTATTTAAATGTTTTTGTTTTGTTTTCAAATGATAAAAAATTATCATCGTGTTCATACCAGTAATCGTCTACGCTGTTTTGCTCAAGCAGTCTTGTAACTCATGAGCATTAACTGCAAGGTCTGTTCTTTATTTTTCTTATTCATTCAAGAAACACGCATCCTTCAAAAAAAAAAATGTATGTAAAAAATCGAAGTTCAATTTATTTCAAGGTTCATTTCGAGTCCACACAAAATTCTTGTTTCTTCGATTGTTCTCTTCGTTCTCCTGGTTGGAGGTCTCGTAAACGTTGACGATCTCACGGATGACGTGCTGCCCAAAAGGAAAGCTGTTATCGCCTTCACCCCTGTAGGGCAGATAGGGGTAGTTTGGATCTTGAAAGCTCGTAGGGTTGAGGCCACTTATCCCCTGACCAAATGTCGGATTCGCGTGTACGCCGTATGCTCCTGTCGAAACGAGAAATATATTAGTCTGAAATTAATTGTTGTCTGAAGGTGACTATAAAAGAAAAATCGTGGCTGGTGTAAATTTCAATCAGAGCGTGGAGAGGCTTTATGCGTCTCGCTGTAACTAGATTTACTCGTATGCTCACGAGGAAGTGCATTAATGACGAGTATCTTTTTCCTCCTCTTTTTCATATTTAGTATGGCAACAAATTATCTAATTACATACGTTGAAACGTAACGCGAAGCGATTAACGGTCCAATTCGTGGATATACAATACGCAAGTGCAATTTAAGTTAGTTTGTGTTTGGCCTTTTTTCTTACGATGTTAACTGTGAATGAGTCTACATGGTCAAAAAAATGTAGCATAAAATAGTTACAAAATTGCCAAAATCTAAAAATGAACATATTAATCCAATACTAAAAAAGGTATTTTATACATTATAAAAAGTATTTGATCCAAATTGGCCTATCCTAGGAAAAACAAAAAACAAAAATAAAATTAGTTTCATGAAAAGATAATTTATGTAATCAGTGACTGAAAACTCTAATTTAAAAAATGATTTAGTTGAATTTATGGATACACTATGAATTTCATATGATTATTGTATTTCTTCACCCCTTAATTTTAAAATCCACTGAATCGACAAATTTATAATATTCTTCTTCCGTAATCGATCATTTGTTTGGTGAAAAAACTTGTTAGAGCTTCAAAATAGGCATAAAAAAATCCCCGTCACCTCTGCAAGAAACCATTGAAAAGCCAACAAAGTTTGGAATAAATTATCTTTTTAAAAATTACGAAATTGAGGAAAAAAACTGGAGCCCAGTAAAAAAAAAAAAAAAAAAAAAAAACAAATAAACAAANAGTGCCATTGAACATAGGGATTTTCGTAACCATTGGAGCGCGAGATAACGAGATAAATGTTGAAAAAAAAAAAAAAAAAAAAAAAACTAAAAAAATCCAAAACCATTAGCGACAAAGCCCGGAGAGGAGGGTCCATTGTGTCCCCCGAAGAGCGAGTTCCAGCCGAGCAGGCCGGCGATGAAGAGCGCGACCTTCGTGAGCAGCAAGGCCTTCTTGGTGAGCACGATGAGGAAGCCAAAGAGCAACGGCAGCAGCGCCGCCACGTTGAACTTGAACCCAAGCAGGAAGGGCAGCACGAGCTGTCGTATCAGCAGTCGGCCTGGAAAAGAGGATATAATGTACAGAAAAGAGCCGTCCGTTCGCCTTGGCCGTGCTGCTGCCTCGCGAAGGACGCCCGAAGTACCGGTACACCGTTGGATCGACCGAGTCCTGGCGCAGCCTTGAACTTGACTCTGGTCGGTATCGGTACCGGTTTCCACAAGTTGCTCAAGAGAGAATGCGGCACTCGCGTCGGTACTCCGAGGTTCGCAACTCAACTAGCCACGCTCGCGTTCATCCACGCGCGAGCTTTTTACTTTTACAGGATGTGGATCCTCGTTGGAAATTTTTTAAACGTCACTTGATATTAACAACCTTTGCGACGAGTTTGAAGTATATATTACCGATCGATTCATTTATTTGGTTGTTATGTATAACATGGTACTGGGAATATTGCGTGGGGTCCGCGTAAGTAGGTCGAGTATATTTATAATCTCTTCTACTTGTTTCGAGATTTTTTAGCGAGCATACGAGGGAAATAGGGGATGAAATTGAAAATCGCACGTCAGTATGGTACCTATAAGCCGGAAAATCTCGCGACTAACCAGTTCCAAGCTGCCTGTTGTGGTAAAGCCCGGTCCTCTCGTCCACGACGAACTCGAGCAGCCCATTGCCGGCCGAGAGGGTGGGCCCGACGCGCATCTGCAGCCCTGGATAAACGCCGCTCAGGTCCCACCTCATGTTCCTCCTCTCCATGAGTCTGGAGGCCGCTTTGACCACGTTGCCAAAGTCCTTGGGGTCCCAGTCTAGGTCCAAAATGTTACGGCTCTGGCCCTCGCTGCGCTCGAGCTTCACGGACCCAAAGTCCAGGCACTCGTCGTCGTTCCAGGCTTGAAGGGTCGACAGGGCGCCTCGGTTGATGCACTCCAAGGTGCCGTGGCTGCGTTTGGCGAAACAGGTGCGCAAGGCTTCGTTGAAGGTGCGAGGATCCTCCGACTGCAGGTGCTCGGGTGGGGCCTCTTGGGGATCGTCCTTGCTGCCAGGGTCCATTATTACCGTGAGGACGCTCGAGATGCACGCGAGCGTGTAAAAGTTCCGAAACAAGGTCTTCATGGCCTTTTTTTAGGAAATTTGTGAGATTTTTTTTTTTTTTTTTTACTAATATGTAGTCTTTGGTTTGGGTCTTCGATGGTATGTGTGAAAGATACAGGAGTGTTTTTCGTATGGTAACTATTTACAAGTTTTACGCAATGGTGTATGTACTACTAATGAGATTCATGTATCACTTTTGGCTACTGTTAAATATACTTTAAGAGACATTTTCTACTGAAGTATTTCTCAATTGAGGTAAATAAAGCTTTAACTGTACAAACTATCGATATATTTTCCGTTCTTTGAGTATAAACTCTTGCGACATTATCACTGAAATAATACTGATTCCTCAAACACAAACGTCTCCATGGATAAACATCAACTTGGTTAAGATACTTTTCTCAATTCCTTTTTTTTTTTTTAATATGTTGAACATTTTTAATAAACTATAATGTACAACGTAATTTGGTTCCGTTTCCATTTACACTTCATGATCACTTGGTTTAGTCAACGTTATCTCACAAGAGCCTCTTCACATGGTGCACCAAAAAAAAAAAAAAAAAAAAAAAAAAAAAAAAAAAAAAAAAAAAAAATTGTACCAACGTACAAGAAAAATGTAAAAAAAATGCACTCGCTCGAGGACGAGGTCTGGAGCAAAACTGGCATACCTTGATCCGAAGCCACCCACCTAAATAGACTTATTCTCGCGGGTCGTCCTATACACTCGTAGCTCGTGAACGTGCAAGCGAGGGAAACAAAACAATCGGTGTTTCACTCGGTGGATCGGCCGGCGAAAGTGAAGCAATTGCCTCCTCCCCGGAGCATTATTCCCTCCTCCGTTGCGAGTCTTCGTTTCCTTTGTGTTTTTGCGTGTAGTAAAGGGAAAAAAATAGCGCCAACGTCTGAGATGGTGATATGATAATGACAATGACGACAAACACGACGATCCAATGTGTAGCGTATATGTTCCTTGGCAGGTGAAAGACATACGCCAGATGCATGACCAGAGTTCCGGCTACGGGGCACCACGGCATCTTTCAAACGTGATGGGAAAACGAGGGATTTGGAAGAAGAGAAAGCTTTCTCTCTCGGCTGGGATTCTACGCGTATACAAGATCCGATAAAAGTGAAGGTTACCTTCCCCGAAACGTGTATTCCTCCGATTGTGCTTCCCAGCCGAAGGAGACTTTCTTTTTTAGTGCTTCTTAATTTACGAGGTATGTATACCCTGTGCGTGAATGGGAAGTCCATTTTTTTTCAGATGGATGAGATTGACCTCACGTGATAAAAGTACCACACGCGCGCGATCGATGTATCGAATGACGCGTCCTAGTTTTTACGGGATCCCCCGAGCCACGATTTCGAAAGAGGAAGCATTAACGTGAAAGTTTTTGGTCGATACGATGATCTCGTTGATGGTTCCTGGAAATATGCCAACAGCCTCGTGTTCGAGTGCACGTCTGATTATGAATTTGGTCAACGTCTCCGTGCATTTTATCGATCAAAATTCATCCGGTGGACCGTTAAAATTTTGTTTTCGACCCAACTTCATTGGGGTCATCGGGCTAACGGTAGCACGCCGAGTCCCGTATCACTTTCAAAACCAATGTCAGGTCTCGTTTGCAGCTCGAAATAAAGCTCTGTGTGGCTTTGTACCGTGTAACATCTTTTTTACTGCATATACTTTGAGAAAAGGAAAAAGGAGAGGAGTTGCATTGTTGGTGGAAAAAATCACAAAAAAAATCATTGTCTTTTTTTTTATAATAAAAACGTTTTAAGATTTATTTATAAATAAAATATTATAAGTTACATGGATGATCGTGGGACTCGCACGTGGTGTGAGCCCTACTATTAAATATTAAATAATCATTGGAAACAATCATAATCTCTGTGTGGCGTGTAAGAGTGAAGATGCGATTGTGGGTGTGTGTATGTGTGATGACTATGGGAGGCCGGGCTGAGTGTGTCGTCGCCGTTCAACGTGAATAGCGTGACGCTCGGTTCAACGGCTCTCCGTGACGATGATGATGATGATTGTGATGATGCAAACGTTCGCGTGCGCGCTGAGATACGTACGCGCTCGCGTGATCACTTCAGTCTAGTCTCCGTGTGTTGACGACTGCAATCATGATTCTTCTCTGTCTTGTCTTCGATATGACTTCAACGGACAATGTTACTTGGGTAGTTGAAGACGATCATGTCAGGATTGTCCTCGAGTATCGTTTGTCGAGTAAAAAGCACTGGTCGAGCGATCGTCCATGTGGCACTTTTGCGTGTCTCGTAAGGGTTCACTGGTCGAGTCACAAGTTTTGTATCGTCACTTAATGAAACAGTCTGGTCGGTGGTCTAACTTGAAGTAATCCAGTCCGTCGAATAACGCGCCGTCACAGTTGCGACAAATTGTCGAGTCAGTGTTCGTACAACAAAACAAAACGTAACAAGATCAATAACAATAGTCCTCGTGTCGGTGACAGTCCAGTAGCACAAAAACAACAAAAACAACAACAACAAAAATAACAAGTATTGGTCACGTCGACGTGAGTGTGTAGTCAGTACGTCGTCATTGTCATCGTCATAATCGCGATCATTGATGGTCGTGAGTCACAAACTAGTCGTGGGCGTCATCGACGTCGTCGTTATCTTCAAGAGTCACAAGTCAGTTGTCGATGTGTCATTGTCGCGGTCATTCCGATCATTGTCTTGGTCACGTCGTTGTAAGTCAAGAACTGGTGACAGTAGTGGTCGGTTGTGGCAGTGGTGATTGAAGAACCAATCTTTGGAGTCGCAACGACGGAGACATGGGTCAGAATGGCCTGGTCACGCCCTCGTAATAATAGCGCGCACGAGGTGAGGATTAGAGAGTGGAGAGGAGAAGAGACGCCTGGGACACGAGAATGTGAGATTCGAGGTGGCTGGGCACCGCTTCCACCAAACGGCGGCTTATTGGGCGGTGGTCGGCTTGTGGGCGCTGTAAGCAAGATCCATCGCTCGCGCCCATCCGCTGCCGTGGTGCTCGTCGTGGTGGTGTGGCACCTCATGGGCGACGACCTCGTAGCTCTGCTGTTTGCTGGCGAAGAGCTTCTGGAGGGCGATCACGGCGCTTATGATCAGGGCAATCTTGCCGACGATGAGAGCCTTGAAGGCCAAAAGGGCCAGACCACCGAGAGCTATGGGGATGAGGGCAGCGGCCTTCAATTTCAAGAGCAACAGGAGCGGCAGGAGGGCCTTGCCAAGCTTCTTCTTCTTACCGCGAGCTGTTGGGCCAAAAGAGATTGGGCTCTGAATGTATGACTATGCGAGATTGTGCGGTCTTTTCAGCGCCACCATCGAGATTCGTGGGTCGTTGGACGCAAAAGCCCACGAGCCACGCGAATCGATGGGCAAGAGGAAGTTGTGCTTACCTTCGTCGAAGGAACGGGACACCTCCTCGGGCATGCTCAGCTCAATGGTGTGGGTCGAGAGGAATCGTGCCGCTCTGTCGAGGAGGACCTCGTCAACGGCAGTCTCCCTGGCTTCGACTTCCGTGGGCAGGGATGCCTCGATGTCGTTGAGCGATCTGGCGTTGTCGGCGCGGCTGAAATCGAAAGCAAAGAGTCAGACGTGGAATCATCATCGGCCATTGTCTTCTTTTTGGGTGTCCAAGACGTATCGTGTACTGCGACTCTCACTTTCGTGCCTAGCCTTTCGCGTAATCGCGCTCGATTCCTCCTACCACGGCTTTCTCACCGAGGCTCCTCTCCCGCGCTCGGATAACCATCTCCCCGTCTCTGCCCCATTACCCGCGTGTTTTCTCCCCCAAATGGTTTCCCTTTCCCACTTTGAAAGGAAAAGTGAACCATGTCTAACATTTTTACTAAATATTCACTCTAATGGAACTTTACGTTTTTCCGAAGCAATTGAGCTTTGAGATCGAAAATGGACCGATGTAATAATGTTGTCATCGGTATCTTTATTTCTTAAAAGTCAAAACTTCTTGAATCAATATGGACGTAGTATGTTGTTTGAATAGAATAAAAAACGATAAGGGTAAAACACGTCAAAGCCAATTTAACCCATTGGAAGTCCCAATGAAAAAAGGACAATAAAAAGGAGCTTGCAAAGCTCACCTGTTGGCCTTGCCCTCGTTGTTCTGCACGATCTTCAGCCCATCAAAGACGTCGATCTCGGCGGATCGGGCGGCCCTGTCGACGTAGTCAGCGGCCTTGAGCTTCAGGCACACAGCGAGATTGGACTCGGACGAGCACGAGCTGTACACGCCGTAGACCTGCTCGAGGAGCGAGGGCTGCTGTTCCTGGGTCGGCGCGGCGAGCGCACACCCGAGCGCAAAGGCAAAAACGACCGCGAGTCTCAGCATCTTGGCACTGGTTGCTTGGCGCGTTTCAACGTGGTATATTCAACTTGGGGGTGGTTGTAACTTGACCGAACTCTCTTGGGATTTTCGGTGGAGAGAAAGAAGAAAAAAAATCCCGAGAAAAGGTCCGACGAAAAAAACAAACGAGATACACGGAGAGGTGACTCTGGTGCTTGGTTTTTTTTTTTTTGTTTTCGTTCGCTGCGGTGCACGAGACGTTCTGAGACGACGACGATCGTATCGGTACTGACCGAAAGAATCACGAGTCTGGCTTTTATCCGCTGGACGCGAAAGGGGTCCGCGTACGTTTTTGAAATTTTGATGGCCCCCACCAGAACGGCAGCTGCTTATTGGTTCTCCGGTGGCTCTTTGGCCTCGGTCCTGCCGGCACAGGGGCACTACCTCGTAGCGGAGAGTTCGCGCACACACACACGCGTGCACTTATGCACGCGTTCCTCTTTTTTTTCTTCTTCTCTCGTCGCGATGCCACCACGTGTAAGTGTATTCTCGCTTTCTCGCGTGTGTACGTGTGTACTCTCTGGTCATCCGTAAGCTGGAAGTGTGCCCACGCTCGTCCCATAGGCTGGCTCTGTGTACCCATACCCTCCTCTCTTCGGCCTTTTTTTTCCTTCCGAGCTCCCCTTCACGGGGCCTTTCTTCGCTCCTCTCTCTCTCTCTCTCTCTCTGATCTCGCCTCTTTTGCGCAACTTCTTTTCGACCATCGCCTGATCCATGGGCCGATGGACTTTTTTTTTTTTTTTTTTTTTGCTACTTTCTGCCTTATTGTCCAAAGCCTCGGAGATGAGCCTGCAGGGACGGAACTGCCGATGAGTTGGAACCCACTATTCAAGGGACCTGACAACTCTATCGTGGACAGACCGGGTTGTTCTCCCTTCAACCACAACTTCCCAAGTTTTCTTTTCTCAAGCTGACCTACCGATCGGTGGGACATTGATATCAATTGATGGGCTTGAAAAGACTCGAGTGATTTTGGGGGAGAAAGTAATTCACGAATCATTGTACGATATTTTTAGGGGAATGAAGAATCCATAAGAACTTTATTGGTACCCCGATATGTGTCAGAAAAAGTTTATGGTTGATGACCTTTTTTCCAACGTGTTTTGCATAGTATATATCTACTGGTGAAATCAGAGAGCATGGAATGAACAACGTGTCGATTTCGTTGTCTGAAAATCGCAAAGGTGCGCTTAGAGACACGTCGATCGAGAGCGGATGTCTTCGATACTCATCCAGCAACTATTTGGTCATCAGCATATTACTCGTACACCAAAGTACTTCCACGCCCATGGTGTCGGTGGGAAGAACCCGTTACAAAAATCAATGGAAAAATCCGTGTCACCCGACGCATTTCTTTCCATCTCTCGCGTCCCATCGAGAGACAAACGCGTCGCTCAGAAAGTCTTGTGCAAACAAAATGCAAAATGCAGAAAAAAAAGGAAAAAATCGCGGGCGCGTGCCTATGTACGAATTTTCGAAACCCAAAGAGGAGAGAGAGAACATCCGAGTGACTGATCCACTCCTCGTGCATTTGCAGACGGTAGCGGTGGCAGCTGTCGCCTGTAAATTTCACGCGAACCCGCGCGAATTTATGTACCTGCGCTTGTTGCAGGCGCGAAAGTACACGAGCACGCTGCCGCGAACGCGTACACGTTCGACGCGTGTTTGCGCCTTACCTTTCTCTCCTTTCATTCATGATTCGCGCGATTAGGCCGCTTTCAATGGAGCCCCTTTGCTCGTACGTACCCGCGCGTACATATGAGTTATTATTGTCCATTGTTCGGGGAGCCGGAGAAGATTCTCGATTAGCTTGTCGCCATCCTCCCGCAACTGTTTTCGGTGGTCATTCATTCGAGTCTAATGTGACGAGTTTCGAGGTAATGAGTGTACGAGAGGTGAGTTATCTCTTTTTTAAACTCGACTTTTATTGGTAACTTTGTTTTTAAAGGCTCGCCACAACGAAGAAATTTATTTTTAACTTGACACGCAAACAGTAGTTGTTTTCCTGCAATGATTAATGGGACCTTTCGTATGCACTTGAAAAAATGATGGATCGAGTGAATTGATTCTTCATCCAGTCATGGATCGTTTGTCGTGAAAAATAAGCATCTGGACTCCATGTGCATTCAAATCGGGGAGAGAGATGAAGCATCACCGGTGCCGTTACATAGCGCGACCACCTGCCAGACACTCAAAAACCTCTATTCGCATTTTCTCCGCTGCTGCTGCAGGAGGACCAGCAACGTCTCCAAAGGCAGCTTCCTCTTCGAATCATATGTGTGTCATTCACGAATACATTTATGTATGCTCATATCCGCGCGTAAACTTAACACGGGCCGGTCAAAGGCACCGAAGACTCCGTACGGCTGTACACATATTACCGGAGAGTTATGGAGGAGAGAAGACCGGCCCGACCAGTAAAACGAATATTGCCTCGGGCCTTTTCCTTTTTCTCCTTTTTTTTTTTTTCTCCATCGTCTTATTTTTACATGTGATATACCCACGCACAAGGGCCACCGGGACGCGAGAAAGACTCTCTCGATCGCTTGATCGTTTTTTTTTTTTTTTTTTTTTTTTTTTTTTTTTTTTTCATCATTTCTCTCTCTCTCTCTCCCTCTTTCCTGCGAGAAAGGCTTTTTTCACGTTTTACATATTCATGCTCTCTCTCTCTCTCTCTGCTTTTGCAATGTTTGCCTGCAAAGTACAAACGCCCGCTTCGTTTTTACAATCGACGCTGCGGGTTATATTGGGTGGGTGTACGGATCGTCAACTCGAAGATCGGTATCTTTGTTGTTTATTGCTGAACTCCATTTTTTCGATGGATTTTAATAGTCGATTGTGGTTGAATCTTGAGATCCTTTTTGCGGTCAAACTGTAATTATTAAAGATGCTTTGTGTATTGAGCACAAGGCTTTTTTTTTCTTTTTGTAACTGTATGAAAAGTGTCAATTTTGAAACTACCGATATCGGAGGATCGTGTAAGCATTACTTACTTACTTTGCTGTATATAGCAAAGAGAAATTAGAGACTTTATTTTTATCCCTAGGTTTTGGGGAATCCACGAAAAAATTGACCCACAAAAAATGGTGTCCGAGTCTGAGTATTCACATTATGTGTGCATAATATTACGTACCAGACCAAGAGCTTGATATGTAGGTGACGGCCAAAATTCGATTTTCGCAGGATTTATGAATGAAACGGCTTAAGAGCGTCTCGAGGATCGTGAAACGGTACATTAGCTCCGGATCACGTCTACGCTACTATTATTACGAGGCGGATCGGTTCATTGAGAAGCTGGAATTTTTTTTTTCGCTACCTTATTAGGCGCGCCGCTGGATGTGTATCGGTGACGATCAATTTTTGTTTTATTTCCAATCGAATAAATTTATTCATCAAAAATCGTATTTTGAATAACGACATTGCTTTACAGTTTTGTGGGTAGCATTGGGCGTAGGGGGAAATAAATATATAATCCTACGGAACTTGAGAATAAAAAAAAATAAAAAAAAATTGGTTGACCTAAATATTGAGATTTCTTTAAATCACCCAAAATCTTTGGAATTCTTTTGCGCTTGACTTTCATCCTTTTCCACGAGACTCACTCCTGAAATAAATTATCTTAATATTTTATTACGAAAACAGTTAATCACTTGATTTTAATATCGGTATCTTCATTAATTCATTAATGTTCAAGATGTAGGACGAGTACGTTATTTCCCGCAACCCATTACAGAACGTGCAACAAAGTGGCAAACGCTACTTTCTCGAATATGTTTTTTTTTTTTTTTTTTCGTCCTGCTCATCAAAAAGATCTTACGCTTCAGGTGCATCTCTTTGAAAGAAATAAAGAGCCATTGTTGCAAAAAAAGTCAGCTACAACTTTCGAGCTCAACATTTGCAAGAATTCCAAGCCAGTCGTGGAAGGATCCTGTATCCTGCAGTGGCATCGCGAAAATTGCACCCATCAACGAGAGGGTAAGAAAAAAAAAAAAAAAAAAAAGAAAAAAGTAGGGAACTGACAATGCACTTGTTGTAGCGCTGACATTCCTCGCGAAAGGATGGGGGTCATTTTCATTTTCTCCTGTCCATTTTTTTGGTCAGCCGAGCGTCTTCCTTTCCGTGCGCTTGAGAGTTACGTTAACGAAAGAGGAGAGCTCGTGGCCCAGATTCCAGAGGACCGCGAGATCCCCCTGTTACCCGTGCGTGTGTGCGTATATGGGTGCGTGTGGGCACCGGGAAAGGTCTCACTTTCCGCCGAGAGCTACTTACGATGTCGAGCAATTAGGTAACCCTTGGCTGAAAAAATTTGGCATAGACGACCTGGCAATTTCCTTTTGCTTGTTGTCATGTTGATTAAACTTTCGTAGGTACACCGCTCTCTGCTGCTACTGTTGATGGTTAGCTTGGATTGTACCAACATGTGTGCTGGATTGCGTGAAAGTTTTGTTTGTCAGTTTTTTTTTTTTTTTTTTTTTATTTTTTTTTTTTCGGATGATTTTGAGTGTGAATTGTTTTTTTTTTTTTGAGAAACTAGCGGTGAGAGTTTTGACGATTCACCTTGAACTCCTTTGAAAATATCGACTTGGCTTCACAGGACTATTAAAAGCGAGCGTATTCGCTGGATCGAAAATCATACGAATGTTTTCAAAATACGTTTGAGGATGAAAAAAAAGTTTTGAAAAGTAATTATGATTGTGAAATCATTCAAGCAGAATATTTTTTGTTTTAAATTACGGACATTATCTAAAATTACATCCTTCGAGAAGTAAGAATATTAAAATTTAAATTTAAAAAATATCATACGATTAACAGGTTTTTTTTTTCATGCTTTTGTTCGTCAAGTAATTTAAGACAGTGATATTTTTTGCATGTCAAGGAAAACATTTAAACGCATTCCAGATGTTTTTAGAGGTAAAACGTTCAAGTTCCTGTTCCTGGTGAGGATATAAATTTCGTTTCGTCAAAGTTAAGCAGTACTTATAAAC